GGTGTCGCCCCAGAGGATGTCTGAGCAGAATGATCTGGTATTGGTCGGGACGATTACATGACTGATGCAAACATGAATCAGACGGCTTGTATGCTTACCTTGGGATGGGTAAGGGTACGGTGTGACGATAGACATCGCCGCTACCCCGTCATCCATGTCTATTATTGGAGCAGGTTGGTGCTGGTGGCGCTTTCTCCAACAGACAAAGCCTGTGCTGAGTATCAATGCCAGCCCAGCTACACCTCCAACGACACCTCCAACAATGCTCGCAGTGTTTGAGTGCGACGATGAGAACGACGTGGAAGTAGATGTTGTAGATGTTGCAGTCGTCGGTGGTGCAGATGGAGAAGTAGCAGCAGTTATCGATAACGTTACGACTGGAACCGCGGACGTTGTGGATATCGTTGAGTCGCAATGGGTGACCGTGTAATTATTAAATCCCCCTGGCTGTTCACCCGCATATTCCATGGTGTAGACACTGTATGAACTTTCAACAACCGACGTACTTAAGTCTGAGGATGGCCGAAAACTTACAAATACCTGTGCAACAGAAGTTCTTGAGAAGTTCTCAACCACAAGTATGAAGCTCGTACCAGTCACCCTTGTCCCAAAAAAGATCATACAGGAAATTGTTCAATTTGATACCAGTACTGCAGGCAGCCAACTGAACGTCTGTGGGTAGCCTATCAGGATATCAGCGCCACCTAGAGGTCTGAAATGACACTTACGACTGGTTTGTTGCAGGACTACACCACTTCCCAGTGGCATTACGATACAACTGGTAGGCACCCACACCTAAAATATAATCAACATCGATGAGTATCAAGAAGTCATGGTACCAACCGGCATCAATACCATTCATTGGACCGTCTACGACGTCCCATTGGCAGCTATGATGAATAAGAATGTTTACGCAGGATTACGAATCGGGCACATACTTCATGCAGAGCATACTCAGAGCCCATGAGACAGAATTACAACAGCAATTCTCTACGAGGTGGATTTGAGTACAGAGCCACGAGTTTGCATGGGCAAGAAAGCTGACAGACGTAGTAAATCATCGCATTGATCGCCGGGGGTATTCGGGCGAAAATTGGGGACCTTATCTGGTGGATGAAAAGACACCGTAATGTGAACCAAGCACACGACAGATACGATTTTTGCGCACAGTTTGAATTGCATATTTGCCTCAATCGCTGGTACGTTTCGCCTGAATTCTGCATCAGTAAATTTATTATAATAATGCCAGAGCCTGAGGTTGCTTCTCACAGGCGGTTTCGCCGACTGCATTAGTGTACCTGCCGAGCAATAAGACATGTGAATGTTGCTAGACCGTGCCTGGACGGAAGGTGGGACACACCAATCTGTGAGATTTCCTGCACACGTTGTGTTTCCAGCCCGAACATCTACAGGAGAAAAGGTCAAAAGGCCTGTAATTGCAAATGTGGCAAGAACTCCGATGCTGCATGGAGTGAGCCTTTGCATGACTGTCGTCCGAGTCGCTGTTGGCACAGTGAAACGTTTTAGTGATGGTCCAGGATAGAAGTCGAATGCTAGTGGACGGCTATAGCACGGCCCCATTGCTGGCATGCGAACAATTTTGTAAAGCGTTCAGCTTACAAGTACTACACGTGGAAGATATCGCCTGCCAGTGGCATGTTGCACAATTGCACAGTTGGACGTTACGTTGAAACGTTGACCTGACTTCGGAGTCCAAGCTAGAAAAGACAAGTTGTGCCTGACACTCAAAGTAGCCAATGTTGGGGCCGCCGCGGGCCGCGATGCATTGCGAATCAATGCGCTATGTAGTATCGCAACTGGCAAGTCACCAGAATCTAACTGCGTCACAAGCATCATATGTTCGGATGTTCGTAAGTAAGAAATGAAAGCATCCAATCATTACATTGGCCAAGGTAGTGCACAAAAAGAACATTGAAAGTGACGCAAGGATTACAAAGCAGCAGAATGATAATTATTTCAGCTGTGATTGCGAGGCTCCTGGGGGTGGAGATGATATTGCGTCCGCGACCATGAGTTGAGGCAGCGGACGACCTCGAGGACGACGCGGTCCCTCCCAGTTCGGATTGTACGCCGGAGGGGGTCTCCCCGAATCCGAACGATATAGTGATGGTACGTGACCAAAATCCTCATGCGGCATCAATTCGGTCGGCGGATCAGGTAGCGCAATACCAGGTGCATCGCGTGAAGAGCTCAGATCTGAGCGCGGTACACCATCGGAAGACATGTCTGTATAAGCAAATCGAAACCTGCTCTGTGGTCCTATGCCAGAGGAGGTCTGAGCGGAATGATCTTATATTCATCGGGACGGTGGCATGAGTGACATAGACATGAATCAAATAGAATACATGCTTACCTAGGGATGGGCGAGTGTACGGTATGGCAGCAGACATCTGCGCCACTCCATTATCTACGTTCAATAATATTGGATCAAGTTGGTCACGGCGCCGGCTACGCCTTCTCCAACAGGCAAAACCTGTGCCGAGTATAAGCGCCAATCCAGCTATTCCTCCAACGACACCTCCAACAACGTTTGCAGTGTTTGCAGTGCGGTGATGAGGATGATTCAGAAGTGGAGGTTGTAGATGATGTAGTCGTCGGAGGTGCAGATGGAGAAGTAAAAGCAGTTATCGATGCCATTAACACAGGGAGCGTGGAAGTTATGGATGTCGTTGAGTTGCAATGGGTGAATGTGTTGTTATTATATTCTGCTTTCTCCTCACCCGCATATTCCATGGTATAGACACTGAGTAGGCCCTCAGAAATCGAGGAAGCGAAGCCTGAAAATGGGCCAAGAAACTTACAAATACCTGTGTAACAGAATGTCTCGAGTAGTTTCTCAACCACAATTGTGGAGCTCGTACCAATCACCCTTGTCCCAAAAAAGTTCGTACAAGAAATTGTCCAGCTTGATACCAGTATTGCAGACGGCCGATTGAACGGCTGTGGGTAGCCTATCAGAAGATCAGCGCCACCTAGAGGAATAGAAATGACACCTACGACTGGTTTGTGCCGGGACTACACCATTTCCCGGTGGCATTACGATACAACTGGTAGGCACCCACACCTAAAATATAATCAACATCGATGAGTGTCAAGAAGTCATGGTACCGACCGGCATCAATACCGATCATTGAACCGCCTACGACGTCCCATTGGCAGCTATGATGAATAAGAAGGTTTACGCAGAATTACGAACCAGGCACATACTTCATGCAGAGCATACTCAGAGCCCATGCAATGGAATTACAACAACAATCCTCTACGGGGTGTGTTTAAGTACACAACCCTGTATCGGCAAGGAAGCGACGGACGTAGCTGATCATCACATTGATCGCCGGGAGTATTCGGGCGAAAATTGGGGACTTCATCTGGTGGATGAAAAGACAATATAATGTTACTAAATCACGTAGCAAACATTCTTTTCGCGCACAGTTTGAATTGCATATCTGCCTCAATCGCTGGTATGTTTCGCCTGTAATCCGTATCAGTAAAAAAAAAATTCCCAAGGGCCAGAGGCTATTTATCTCACAGGCGGTTTCGCCGACTGCGTTAGTGTACCTGCCCAACAATGAGACGTGTGTAAAGGCACGACGAAAGATGGAACACACCAATCTGTGAGGTTTCCGGCGCACGTTGTATTACCAGCCTGAACTTTAACAGTAGACAGAGTCAAAAGGCCTATAATTACAAACAAAAACGCTCCCATGCTACGTGGAGTGAACCTTTGCGTGACGGTTGTCCGAGTTGTTGGCACAGGAAAATTTTGGTGATAAACAAAAGTTGAAGGATGGCTATGATGCTAGCACGGCCATCGGGGAATTTACATAAACTTTGCGTGCCTCTGGCTTCCGATCGCGGCGCTGGCGTCGTAACCAACATCACGAACTGCAATGTATGTAAACATTTACAAAAATAAATAATGATGGGGTATTGTCCAAAGTAGGTAACGCTTTGTCGGCTGCAACCGGAGCCACGTGATTGGCCTAACCTTCCACGGAGACCAAGTTATCCACGCCCGCACAATTGTTCATTCACTCCCTTGGTTCCACTCCCATCCTCGACAATGTCTGCATCGTTTTTATTGCGTTCAACTTTGCCCAGAACATTTGCTTCTACCACCGGCCGCAGTGCTTTGCGCTCGGCACTCCAAGGTATGCTCCTCGCAGTCTGTCACAAGCTAGAAAGATAACTCACGTGTGGTCATAGTAAGACATGCCGCCAGCTCGACTGCCCAATATGTTCCTGGTGGACGTGAGTTGAACACTATCTATCTCATTCAATATCATGTCTTGATGCATAATCACTTTTAGCGATCTACAAGGGAACTGTCAACGACCCAACAACCTTCCCTCCACCCTCAAAGTCCCATGGTTCCTATCATTGGGCGTTTGAGCGTCTTCTCTCTGCAGCCCTTCTCCCTATGACTGCGGCAGCATTTGCCACGTCCGGAACGGCTTACCCCGTTCTTGACGGTCTCCTCGGCATTTCACTCGTGATGCACAGTCATATCGGGGTATGGACCATCCAGAATCGTCGTAAACACTTGACATAACTAACTTCCGGGCGTGCAGTTCGATGCCATCCTCGTCGACTATCTTCATAAACGCAAGTTCCCCATCATCGGCCCTCTGACGTCCTGGACGCTTAGGGCCGCAACTGTCGGCGTTTTGGTCGGCGTTTACCAGTTCAACACGAACGACATTGGTGGGTTTTTCCGAGCGTTCCGATGTCGTGTGAGCGGGTTCGGAACTGAGTCCCACATTAGGTTTAACCGAGCTGATCACCAAGGTTTGGACTGCATAGGCTGTAAGTTCCTTAGGGTACATGTGTGGGAATGTCTCGAGCCTTTCTTTTATCCGCGAGTAGCACGATACTACAGAATAATAACGAATGTGCACCCGAAAAAACAATCCAAGAGTTACGTTTCTCCAGAGTTAGTTCAATCCTGATTCATCTGTCAGATCGCGAAAGATTATTGAGCCCGCTTAGCTCAGTGGTAGAGCGCGTCACTTGTAAATCGATTATGATGAGGTCGGTTGTTCAATCCAGCCAGTGGGCATCCTTTTTAACGGATCTATCCCCGTCGCCTGTTCACCGGCAGTGTTCAGAGTGATCAAGTGTACCTTCTACATAATATTTGTTTTGCACGAGATCCCTCACATTGTGTCGTCTTTCTATGATGACTTCCATATTTGATTAGGCAGTCTCATAAATTATGTCATGTATGATATACACACTCGCGTCGAGGACCACTTTGTTTCTAAACTAGACGTAGAGATTACTGGATTTCAATTTCTGATCCGCGAGGCTTATCTTCGTTTGCCGCGAAAGAGAAGGAATATCACACCCACGAGATCATCGTCTGACGATATGGACGACATTAACGACCAGCAAATACCACTCAGTAAACGTCATCGGCTACTTTGATCGACTGTGACCTTTTCTGAAGTAGAACTCGTGATATCGCTCTGATAATTTCCAACGGACGCTATGCTGACCAGCGGGCGTGGAGTAATGTCCGACTCGAGCCCTTGCATGGGCCGGCGTGCATGTTCTGCCTGAAAATTGCTGGGACACATTTGTGCCTCTCGTCGATGTTCCATGCCCGCCCATACGGTAGCAAACACGACGCCGAAAGAACTAACCTTAGTGTTCACAGATGCAATGTCGTTCAGAAGGACTGGGTTTGCGGCACCTATTTGGAAGAGTAAGGCGAGTTGTACGATCGAGATGATCGTTGGGATGATAAAGTTTGAGAGTGAGAGATGGAACAGGATCCGGATGCGCTCCATAAACGATGCTATTCAAAAGGTCAGCGATGTCCGAGGATAGCGGTGCTCAGAGATAAGTTACATTGACGGAAGGTGAGAGTAGACACAAGTCCACTTGACGACGTCCTCGCTCTATATCGCCAAATTGTCCAGAGGAAGGCGATGGAGACATAGCTGTGGGTGAGAGATCTTCAGTGTGGATCGTGACAGCAAGGATGTGGCATTGACCCGTTGTCCACCACTTGGGCAATCCATTCTATTTTCACGTATGGTAACGTGAGCCACGCACTGGCAGCGTGTTCAAAGGCGTTTGGGTTCCGTGTGATAATGCTCATTTGGTGGATGTACAAACTGAGGTTAATCAGGCGGGCGACCTTGAGTGTTATTGGAACGAACATGAGCAGCGCGAACCGAAGACGGCCGATACGACTGGGAGGGTGAACTGTTATGAGCCGAACAAGCAAGATGGCGTCCGCCAGCATTGCCTGGAAGCTCCCAGTAAACCCAATAGCAATTTGAACCTGAACTAAACATTAGTTCTGTGAAACCGGCACATATGAAGCTTGGAACAAAACGCGCCTGTGCAGACCATCTGTTTTTCGGTGACAGGATTGAATGCATCTACAGCGGTAATCAGTTCCTGCAGCTTTGTGCGTTGAGAAATGCGGGGGCTCTTACGTTCATGGCATCACCGATTACTCCTACAATGAAAGCTAACGAGAGTGCAAGGACATTAAGGATAAAAATAGGTTGACGACGACTACGAGGAGTGGAGTAGTAGAATAATGCGATCAGAAGAGGAATCAGGAGGACAGAGAAGGTGTGAAGGATCACGAGGGATTGCAGGCTATCTTTGATGATAGACTCCTCTGTCCTCAAGAGATGGTTATTGACAGACATCACGGGAAAACCTGTTGTGTACGATAAAATGGTGTTGTCGAACACACATCATCATGCTTATAATAGTGCGTGAAAACGTCGACCCTAATGCGAAGTACAGCGCCCGTTTGAGTTGGCGAGCAGCTCAACAGTGTGGCACCAGATAAGGCATGGTGGGAACAGGAGCATAACTTATAATTCAATCCCTACCCAAAGCGTCCGTATACGAGGACTTGTAGATTGATCCGATCGGGGGAAATAGAATGTAAACTGAGAATTGGGGTTGATTAAGGCATGGTTGGTGGTCAGTTCCACGCTCCGAAGTCATGCAGATGTTCTTAAAATTTCACAGGGGTCAGAAGTTCGTCGAAAGATCCAGAGGACTCAGTCTCGCACCATGACGTCCTTGTGTTCGGGTGGCTGTATCTCATCCCCCGAGGTAAAAGAGATTTCTGAAAGGGTTGCAATAATTATTGCCAGCAGCTGCTCGACTTCCCTCTTGCAAGTCATGGTGACGGGGGCAATAAATTTAAACCCAGTTACTCACCCGTCAGGGGCAAGCTCACAACATGTGGACATTTGTTCCACATAGTGAGGTGATACTTCTGCGTAAGCGTTCACAGGCAGAGTTCTACGGATCAGTTCAATAGGGTGCACCAAAGGGCCTGGTACCTGGTGGTCCAAACTGGCAAGTTGACCTCACCGAGTCCCTGCGGCTGAATGTCGATTTCTTCCCACGCTAATGTGATCCGTAGGCTTGGGCCTTGGCGGCGCACCGCGATAGTCACAATGCTGAGTTACATTTTCAGCAAGTCTTGGGCTCAAGATAGGGATGCTGTGAATTTCTGTCACTGACTCTCACCCGCGTTTTACACCCGGCGCGAAAAAGGTATTCGCGACAAGGAGGCTTATGGCAGGGTGGATTTCTTTGCATCATGATATCGACTCTGGAAACTCAACTTTCTGCCTCTACCGGCCACCTGAGGAGCATAACCTGCGCAGTTGACGCACCTTAACTTTGACCTTTGCCATGCCTAGGAGCGTCTGCTACATCATTCGCACGGCAGCTGTTTGAATGGTGCATGTGACCCTCCTTGCATGAAGCAGTCACCAACGATTCCACGATGAATATGGACCCATGACGAGTGCATCCCCAACTGTGGCCACAGGGCTCCGCATGACTGCAATATTGTGAGCCTCACCCCGCAGCGTCTATTTGAAGCTAGATTTTCTCACTCAATGATGGCCCGTACGGTACCGCGACTATGTCGACAATCAGTAGGCGCTGGCGCGGTTGGTCTTCACTGGAAGAAGTACGTGCATTGCGTGCAAAGATCATTGCGTGGATCTTTCTCCTCCGCGTGCTTCTGACTGCGCACGCAGGTAGCCATGGACCATTCCTTCATCCTGCCTACCGCCGGAATGCCTCGGATCCAAATGCACACTTGGAGGTTTTTCCAATGAAACATCCCCGAGAATCGCCCGTCCAGGGCAGCTTCCCATCGTATCCATATTGGTGTTCCGAGTTCTGGGTGCATAAATACGTACATATTATGCAATTGGCACACTACAGTCGACGTCGCACCCTCGCACTTACGGCTCCATCACCGTCGATATGAAGTTCTCGACCACAAACAGTCTCTTTTTTCTCTCGTCCCTCGCTAGATCTGCGTTGGCCGGCGGGACATACACTATCTGTGATCGTATTGTCGGCGAGGGTTTCTACGATGCCTTCAACTTTGAGGCTATCCCAGACCCCACGGACGGTCGCGTGTAGGTGACGTGTCCACTTGTTCGCGACCATTTTTTCATGCGCTTGACCTAGGAACTATGTGAACGAGACGACTGCTAAAAGTCTGAACCTCACGTACGCGGCATTCGACACCTTTATCATGCGCGCAGATGACACTACCGTGCTCTCACCGACTGGTCCGGGACGGAATTCCGTTCGCATCCGCACAAACAACCAGTATACGACTCACGTAGCGGTGTACGTATACTCACGTCGGGAAGTTGACATATTTGGTTAAGTTGTCGTTTTCGTAAGCTTCGATATGCCGCATATGCCACAAGGTTGCGGGTAAGTTTGACTTGAGCTTGTCGCATTTCTTGATTTACATAACTGACGCTCGCTGAAGCACGTGGCCGGTGAGTGCTGTCTACTTTTCGTTGGTGGGGTGGATAAGGCGAGTGCTTATGATCGCATTCAGGCCGTCTGGGAGACAAACGAAGCTAACTGGCCTAATGGGGTACGGTCACTTGACCACACATTGGCACACAAGTTCCTGGCACTCACCACTTTCACAGGGTGAAGTTGATATTGTCGAGGGCGTGAATGATGTTGAACCAAACCAATCAACACTCCATACGGGTGCCAGTCAGTATAGCCGCCACTTCGATCGGAATTTGTCGATTGATATGCGCTTCCTAGACTGTTCGATCCCTGCTTCTGGTATCACGCAGCTCGGGTGAGGACAAGTGCGTGTAGTTTGATGATCTTTTCTCATTGTTTGTGCAGGACTACGGTTACTACAAATTGTTACGCTGATGGTGTGTGATATTCCGATTGCTCGCTTCAAAGTGTTGCTCATCATCATTAGTCAATGGCAATTCGGGATGCGGCGTGCAATATACATATGACGATAATAGCTTCGGTCCCGATTACAACAACGCTGGTGGTGGATGGTAACTACTTGAATCTTGGACATTGACAAGCTGAACATAAATTCTGTTCAGGTACGCCATGGAACGCACAAATAGCTACATCAGTATCTGGTTCTGGCAGCGTGGTGATATATCAGCACCCATTGATGCGATCACTGGCGCGCCTATCATCGACACCAATCTCTGGGTAAGTCGCGGTGCCGCCTGCTCTTCCGGGAATGCTTCACGAGGCTATATTCAGGGAACGCCCGCTGCGTACTTCCCCAACACTGATTGTGACTTGGCAACACACTTTGATGCGAACAACATCATTATCAACCTCACGTTCTGTGAGTATCTCTCCACAGCTTCGTATGAAAGAGACTCAATCGCCATGGAGGCGGCGACTGGGCTGGTAACTCGGCTGTTTATGCTGCTTCTGGGTGCCCCTCGACTTGCATTGGTATGTAGTTTTGTCCCTTTTAACCAATGACGGACTTAAGTCATACGTCTTCGCACTATTTCCAGACTACGTGAACAGTGGGTGAAGACGAATTCTTGTGATCCTCAATGCTAATCAGCTGATGACAGACAACCCGATAGCATTCACTGACGCGTACTTTGAATTTAGCTCCATCAACATATACGAGACTTTGTGATGGAAGCATGCACCATCTCTGGAAAAAAGAGGATACCAAAACTCGTACCATAGTTCCTACACCGGGTTAATGTTTCTTTTTTGGGACAGTCGCGTTGGACGGTACCA